CGCTCCCGCGCTGCCCTCGCGCTCTCCCGGCCGGAAGTGGTGTGAGGGGCCGGAAGAGCGGGGCTAAGGCGGGGCGGGAGCGGCCGCTCTGGCCGCGCCTCTCGATGGTGCGCGGTCCTCCAGCACCGCCGGGGGCCCCTTGTGGGGAGGGGAGCGGCCCCAAAACCCCAAAACCGACCCCAGAACCAATCCCAGAACCCCAAAAGCGGCCCCAAAACCCCAAAAACGACCCCAAAACCGATCCCAGAACTGATCCCAGAACCCCAAAAGCGGCCCCAAAAGCCCAAAAACGACCCCAAAACCGATCCCAGAACCCCAAAAGCGGCCCCAAAACCACAAAAACGACCCCAGAACCGATCCCAGAACCCCAAAAGTGGTCCCAGAACCCCAAAAGCAGCCCCATAAGCGGCCCCATAACACCAATAACGACCCCAAAACCCCAAAACCGACCCCAGAACTGATCCCAGAACCCCGAAAGCGGCCCCAAAACCGCAAAAGCGACCCCAGAACCCCAAAAGTGGCCCCAGAACCCCAAAATCGGCCCCAGAACCCACCCTTAACCTGCCCCCAAACCCCACAAATGCCCCATAGATGCTTCACGCGGCCATGATTCCCCATAATCAGCCCCATAGCCTACCCCATAACTGCCCCACAACCCCATCACCAGCCCCATAACCGGCCCCATATCTAATCCCATATCCATCCCCATATCCTGCCCCACATCCGCCCCATAACCAGCCCCACATCCCGCCCCACAGCCCCATATCCAGCCCCATAACCAGTCCCATACCCAGCCCCACATCCAGCCCCATATCCAATCCCATATCCAGCCCCACAACCAGCCCCATACCTGCCTCACATCCAGCCCCATACCCAGCCCCATATCCAGCCCCACACCTGCCCCATCACCCCATATTCAACCCCATATCCAGCCCCATACCCTGCCCCACATACAGCTCCATATCCGCCTCATATCCAGCTATCCATCCCCATAACCAACCCCATATCCGTCCCATAACCAGCCCCATATCCAACCCCATACCCACCCCATACCCTCATCTCCAACCCCATATCCATCCCCATATCCAACCCCATATCCAGCCCCATAACCCCATATCCAACCCCATATCCATCCCTATATCTGCCCCACACCAGCCCCATAACCCCATATCCAATCCCATATCCAATCCCATATCCAATCCTATATCCAATCCCATACCCAGCCCTTCCCCCACCCGTGTCCCCACCATTTCCCC